TGCAGAAGCAAAGAATGTTTGATAAATTGATAGAAATTAAAGAGAGGTAATGTACTCTTTCTAATGGGTATTTTTTCTAATTGTGTTTCCAAGTAATCATAGCTTTATATTTTAAAGACCACATGAGAGTTATTCAAGGAAGAAAAACTGTCCAGACTTGGAGGTTGTTGCTCTTTCCAAAGTTTCCTTACTAACAGGTTACACATTCCTGTACTCAATGGCTGTATAGCCTCCAATGATCTTCTGAGAACATCTAGATCTGTGCAATCCAATATGGCAGCTACCTCCCCACTTGGCTGCTGAGTACTTGAAATGAAGCTGTCCAAACTGAGATGTGCGTAAAATATAACTACCTATCCATTTTCCAAACTTAGCATAAAAATATAAAATATCCATAATAATTTTATATTATTTTCATATTAAATAATATATTTATATATATGGCTTTAATAACATTATTAAAATTTTTTAACCTTTCATTTTCTAAAAAGTGGCTGCTTTTAAAATCACCCAAGTATTTATGTTCAAGTTTTATTGGAGAGTGCTATTATATTGAATATCTGGATTACCCATTTTGTTTTGAAATAATATTCTACTTACTGAATATTTGCTATATCCTTAAGCTAAACATTTTGCCTGTATTAAGTTACTTAATTTAATTATCTTCACTTTACAGATGAGGATATTGAGCTTACAGAGGGCAGATAACTTGCTCAGGCCCCATCTCTAGGGAGTAGAAGAGATGGATTCAAACCCATCAAACTGCCTGAATGCAAAGCCCATTCTCTCAGCCTAGGTGAGGCCTGTGAGTCATTCTCCTTGGGCACAAAATTTAAAGGGCACCAAAAAACTCAGTAATTAAGATGTGTAACATTTGAATAAAATTTTTTAAAAAATCAAATTAGTGGATTAAAAATCCATAATGAACCAAGTATCAAAATTTTAAAATAAAGACAGAATTTGATTCTGCATTTGCGTGAGGTGGCCTCTCTCCCCTTGCTGAATGACTGCTCACTTCCCTGTGACATTGTCAGTTTTTGGAGAGTGGGTCCAAACCTCACATTTTGTCACTGCGCCTGATACTGCCCAGGCTTTGGTATAGTACTAAGCACATGGAAGCTATTAGTAAATATACAAATAGCAAGAAGACAAAAGGTAAGCATACCACAATGTTTAGAGACGTTTTCTCTGTGAAGTGGATCAGGTAATTTCACTTCACTTCATATATATAATGTATATGAGAAACTTACAATTAAAAACAAACATAAAATTTTGCCTGATAATCTCTGGACTCCATTCAAAACCATAGAGCAAGCACACCTCCCTGAGAAAGGTACTTAATGATAAAAGAAATCTTACACAAGAAATTAAAAGGCTTTCATAGCCAAGTCAACAAATCAAATATACTGCTGGAAATCCAACCTGCCCATTTCATTCCCGTTGTTCATTATGTGACTCACAGGGTGGATCTTTTAAAACAGGCCCTTTACAAACACCTGTTGTATGGGTGTGACCTGTAATAAAGTCTAAAGGAAGCCAATCATTCCTCTATATTAGAGGTTCTCAACTGAGGCAGGGAGTGGGAGGCAAAGAGAATCTCTTGTGAAACTTTCAAATTCTTCTTCTCTGCCCCCAACTCTCACAGTCTTCCACATCTTTCTATTTCCTTCACAGCCAAGCTGCTTGAAAATAATAACCAATCGACTCCCCTTCCTTTCCCCCTTTCCCTGTTCAACTCACTCCATCTGAAACTCACCTCTCTCTTTACTGGAACTGCTTTGTCATGGTTTGCATTGACCTTTTTGTTGTCAAATCTAATGGACAGTCCACAGCCTGCATCTTTCCTGACCCTTAGCTATTTTTCCCCTGCTTGTCCCCACTACCATACCACCCCTCTATGTCTAATGTTCCTCCTAACCTTCAGCTTGTAAATCTTTATTCACCTTTTAGAAACTTTGACCCCTACTATGGGTTTGGTATTGCTCCTCCAGGATCCATCCACTTCCCTAAATTCAAATCATTCTGTTAATAGTATCAATTTGTAGCATCAAACATCGGTATCTGAGCTGATAATCAGTTGGACCTAACTAATTCAGCTGTCATAGAATATTCTACTAAAATCATCTGGTTCTTTGTTTCTCCCAATTCGATCTTGTCTACCTCTTATTTACCATTACATCCTCAGCACCTGGAGGAGAACCTGGCACATATTAGTATGTATCAGTATGATTTGGGCTGGAGATGACAGGAACTCCAACTCAAAATGACCAACATAAAAGAAATGGAATCTATCCTACAACTGGAGGTCCAGCATAGAGTATACCAGTGGCTCCATGATGCCAACAAGAACTAAAGTTCTTCCTGTCTCACACTTAGTTATCCTTGGGGTCATCTTGATCCTAAGGTAGATGCCATTTATGACATAACGTGGCTACCAGTGGGAAGAATAGAAACTGCATGTTTCCTTATTCAGGGATTCCTGTCCTTTTACATCTCTGTACCTCTAGTTAACAGTGGATAGGCAACAACAATAATTTGCCTAATCATTTTATTTGCAGGAGTTGGGAGGGAGGAACACCAATTTAGAGTACTTTACTCAGAGGTGAAAAATTCTTAGAATAGATAATATATAAAACCAATCAGATTTCACATATATAATATGATTACAGAGACCATACTTACCCAGTATATATATATATATATATATATATTATATATATCATACACCACACACACATATATATATATATATATATATAATATATAAACTTTGAGATTTCCCAGGTCTGAATTTGCT